TTAGTAAAAAAAATATTTCATGATTCATCAATTTCAAAATTTATATGTTATTTAACTCTATATATACATTAAACTATTTATACATATTGAATAATCAGATTTATTGAATAAAATATTATAAAAAAATATTCTAAAAATTTCAAAGTAAACGCGTTTTCAACAATTCCAAAACAGACACTCAAAATAGAAAACACAAAATGAATTCAAAACTCAAAACACAAAATTGAAAGACGAAGAGAATAACCCCTAAATTATTTAGAATATTTAGACCCAACGTATGAAATTACACAATTAAAAGTAACAAGTCACTTTTAATTGTTTCTAAGTGATTAGTAAATCAAGTTCAATTACCATATGGTTTAAATGTCACAATCAATAATTAAAGTAATAGAGAACGCCAAATTGATCACGGAGAACTCCAGACTGGGTAAAAATTTCGGGACCAAGCCATTAACTTCCAATATAGACAATAAGAACTTACAGTGTGATCCAGCCTAGAAACCTCTAGACTCGCTGATCTAATTTCTACAATTTTCAAGACTCGCTAGAACGTGTTTCACTCACACCCGTTCTAGATCTTCTAGAATTGTCTATATTTTGTGAATCACCAAGAACACCTTGTTCTTGTGCTCTTTATGTGCTTTTGGTTCAACCTCCCTCAATATTCAGCAACCTTTGAAAACTATTGAAAAGTACATTTTTATTATATCAGGAAGTAAGTGTTTTGGATTATTTGAACATGATGTTTTCCTAACTTGTGGTTGATTGATCTCACAAATCAAAGACTTAATCTCAATGTTTGAATACGTTCTTGGATCTTGGAATGATGTTATGAGGATGTGTTATAATAATCAACCACACCAAAAAACGTAATGGGCACTAGGTATTTATAATAAGAGGTATTTGGGTTATATATGATAGATCTTGAAAAATGCGAACTAAGGTTTCACGTATAACACCGTCGCTGAGCGCTATGCTAGCGATATGTGTGTCGCTCGAGAAAGAGTCGGACGACGATGATTATGTTTTTTCCGCTCGAGTATCAGTTGGCGACATGTTAACGTAAATTTGACGACTCTTTCTTCATGTTTTATATTCGAACACAAAGACTTCTAATTCATCCATACAACCCTCTAAAAGATTCCTTAACTAATAAAAATCATTTTGTCTAAAAAATGTGCAATACAACTTAAGTCCTAACAATTTCTAATAAGGTGTAACTTGTTGAACACGTATGCCATCTTCATATAATTATGATCATTTGAATTTGAAAGTTAAAAATTTCTATGTTAATATTATATTAAGGATTTAGTACTTTTATTAGACTCAAGGCTCTCGTTAACAACATTAGCACCCAAAAAAATTGTTCAAAGCTCATGACGGAATTTCTTTAACTAGCATGTATTTACTTGGCTCTACTCATTTGTGTATTTATTAGTACGTGTATAATCAATCGGTGTAGTCAAAATCAGACGTGGTTCTACCAAAAATTGTACTTGAGTGGTTGAGGCCGGCTGAATGCGCGAGATGTAGAGAGAAAATACTAGTGTAAGACTACTAACTAAAAAGAATGCAAGATAATGTAACTTGAACAATTAAGCTAGACACCTATTTATAATAGTTCATAACGTGTTTTGGTTTTGGTGATAATCTAAGAGGTAGGTGGTGGCAGATTGCGGTGGTAGTGGTTGGGTGGCGGTGATGGGTTTTCGGCAGATTAAGTTCTGGTTTGGGATGGGTTGTGGAAGAAGATGAAGTTTTCTTTCATATTTTCTGTTTTTTATTTAATTACTTTAATAGTTTTACAGGAAAAAAAAAGTAAAATTATCATCTCGTTCTTTTAAAATTGGTTAAAATATGGCTAGATCGTTGACTTTTGGTCTTTGACGGCATACAAGTAGAAGGTTTGACTCCGCAATTACAACAAATGAAAGATTAAGATAAAAGTTATAACAAATTGAAACATTTGGGACTTTCAATGTATCTTGTTATCGTAAAATAATTTGATTGTTTTAAACAATTTGTCATTCGTGACACTACTTGACATGTAATTTCATGATTAATATAAAAGTCAAATTTAGTTTTTCATAAATAAACGCTTTTAATTAACACAATTTTTATTTCTTGCACCGCATTTTAAGTGCAATGAAGGTTCATTGATTATTGTACTTGCATCCCCATTTTTTTTTTTGGTCACATTTTCATTTTCAATTTTTCATTAATCAACACGTCTTGCCCTGATAACAATTTGTATCCAAAAATCCATCATATGACAATATTACATGGAGTAAGTTTCGTACAATTGGAAATATTTTGTTATAAATTAGGGGTGGACAAAATAACCAAACCAAGCCAAATCGAGCGATTCGGTTCGATTCTACAAAAAAAAATTTAATGGTTTTGGTTCTTAAAACTGAGAACTATTTGATTCTGGTTCTGGTTCGATTTAGTTTTAGAACCAAGAATCAAACTCAATGAAATGAAATGAAACAAACACCTTATCATGTACTTCCAGAAAAGAGTTACAGAGATTTTCAACACACTGGAGGTGTTCGCTTTGGTAAGAAATCGATGTGGCCAATGTGTTACAAAGAGTACCAAGCTGTTGCACCAGTTCAGCCTGAAAAGTGTCCACAGTTGACCTGTTATCCGCATTCAGTTTGTCCCCTCTGGCTGCAAATGAATAATTAAAATCATTGTGCCCATCTACAGAACAAGATTGAGAAAAAAGGATTTATCATTGAAACTACATACCAACTTGAGAAAACTTAGAAAGGGAAAATACCCAATCAATTTATTCAATTATCAGACGAAAATGAAGTACAGTATTAATAGGGAAAGTGACGAGTGCTAATAACGGAAATTAACAAACATAACAGACTAATTAAACTAATTAGCCAAGTAACTAATTATCAGCTAAAAGCAGTAAAACAAGTGACGTGGATAATGTGACGTGGATATTCTCCATATCCCCCCCTCAAGTGGGATCGCGATGTAGAAGAAGCAAGCCCAACTTGGAGATGATCCTGTTGAACTGAGGATCAGGGAGAGACTTTGTGAAAACATCCGCGAGCTGATGATGTGTGGAGATATGCTTGGGGATGATGAAACCTTCTTTATACTTGTTGCGAACAATATAACAATCAATGTCCAAGTGTTTAGTGCGTTCATGGAACACAGGGTTGGCACTAATATGGAGAGCCGCCTGATTGTCACACCAAAGGGAAATAGGCAGAAGTAACGGTATATGAAAATCAGACAAAATGTAAGAGATCCAAAGCAGCTCACAAACAGTAGCTGCCATGCTTCAATATTCTGCCTCTGCTGAACTTCTGGAAACGGTAGTTTGTTTCTTTGTTTTTCAGGAGATAAGAGCTCCTCCCAAGAAAATGTAATATCCTGTGAGAGACTTTCTTGTATCCAGGCAGGAAGCCCAGTCGGCATCACAGTAAGCTTCAATGTTAAATCCATTGGTTGTAGGATAGAATAGCCCAGTGGAAGATGTGCCCTTGATGTATTTAACAACATGAACCGCAACATTCCAGTGAGCCAATGTTGGTGAGTGTACAAACTGTGACAATTGCTGGACACTGAAGGCGATGTCTGGCCTGGTTAAAGTAAGATACAAAAGTCTCCCAACAAGCCTTCGATACTTATCAGGATTGTCAAGCAATTTGTCATTGCTTTCAGTGAACTTCAGGCCCTTTGGTAGTGGTGTGACCGTAATTTTTGCTCCTGACAGGCCAGCATCAACAACTAAATCATGTGCATAATTTCGTTGACTAACATAAGTTCCTGCCTCTGTTCTTTCTATTTCTATACCAAGAAAATATTTTGCAATACCCAGATCTTTAATAGTGAAAGTTGAGTGTAAAGATGCCTTGAGGTTCTGAATTTCTGTTTCATCATTTCCTGTCACAAGCAGATCATCTACATATACAAGGACTGCCACAAAAGAATTACCCTTAGTCAGAATATACAAACAATGATCATGTGTAGACTGATGAAAACCATAATTTTCAAGATGCTTGCTTAATTCTGTGTTCCACTGTCTGCTGGCTTGTTTAAGCCCATAAAGTGACCTTGTAAGCCTACAAATCTGCCCCTTCTTTGCTTTAGTGTGTCCTTCCGGTGGCCACATAAACACTTCCTCCTCTAGGAACCCATGTAAAAAGGCATTATTAATGTCAAGCTGGAAAATGGGCCACAATTTCGCAGTAGCAACAGCCAGAAAAATCCGGATTGTAACATGTTTTGTAACAGGTGAAAAGCTCTCAAAGTAATCAACCCCTTCAACTTGATGGTACCCCTTGGCTACCAACCTAGCCTTGCACCTATCCAGAGTCCCATCTGCCTTCAGCTTCACCTTAAACACCCATTTAGAGCCAATTGGTTTCCTGTCAGGGGTTAGTGAAACAAGATCCCAAGTATTGTTTTTCTCAAGTGCATCAAATTCAGCATTCATTGCTTCAACCCATTCAGCTCTAGTACTAGCTTTCCTATAAGAGGTAGGCTCTTGAATAGTGTTAACATTAGCAAAGAAACCATTGTAATTTGAACCAAAACTCTGTGTAATATGAGAGGGGAAAATACTTAGGCTGGACTGGGAAGAAAGTAGGGTTGTTACAAGTTGAATAACTGGCTGGAAATTTTCTCTGTGACTGAAATTAGTCACAAAATCTTGAAGCCACTAAGGGGCATTTTTCTGTCTGGTGCTTCTTCTTGGGGTGGTAGATGTGAGAACTTGAGTATTATTACCATCACTTGTCTCAGGGGTAAGACCATGGTTATTCCTGGCAACTGATGGTTCATCAATGGGGTGTTCAGTATAAGGTGGCTGGTAATGATTTTCACGTAATGCATTTTCATCAGACTCATGCTCTGCTGGAGGTATAGGTAGAGGTGTAACAAGCTCATATTTGCATTCACTATTATATGGAAATATGTTTTCATGAAAAATCACATCCCTAGACACAAGAATCCGTCTGTTATTAATATCAAACACCTTGTACCCCTTTTGTCCTGAACTGAAACCTAGGAGAACACATTTAAAACTTCTAGGAGAAAACTTATGCTTTGAAGGAAAAGTGTTTGTGGCATAACATAAACAACCAAAAGTTCTAATATGATGGTATGTAGGGGACTTACTGTGGAACAATTCAAAAGGTGTTTTCCATTTTAACATTTTGGAAGGAAGCCTATTTATAATATATGTTGCCATTAAAATAGATTCCCCCCAAAAATAAGTAGGTAAATGTGATTCAAACATAAGACTCCTAGCCACTTGAAGCAAGTGCTTGTGCTTTCTTTCGACAACCCCATTTTGTTGTGGGGTGTACACACATGATTTTTGATGTAGAATCCCATTGATAACCAAAAAATTCTGAAAATCATGACTCAGGAATTCTGATCCATTATCAGTTCTAATGCTTTTAATATTGTTCCCAAACTGATTTTTGATCATTTTGTAAAAAAATTTCATAATGTGCATAACCTGTGTCTTGTGTTTTAGCAAAAAAGTCCAAGCGGCTCTTGTGTAGTCATCAACTAGAGTCAGAAAGTAATGTGCTCCACAAATAGAGGCCTTTTTGTAGGGTCCCCATAAATCAATATGTAAAAGTTCGAAAGACATATTAGATTGGATATGACTTCTTTGAAAAGGTAGTCTGTGTTGCTTTGATAAAGCACAAACATCACAAGGATTAAAAACCCCTTTATTACATTGTGTACCTAATATAGAATGCTGTAAAACATTTCCAGAAACATGGCCAAGCCTTTTGTGCCATAGAGCAGCAGTCTCAGGCTGGTTATTACAAATGCTGAAGGGTAAAGGAACTGAGGAAGCAAGCACAGATGCATTACACTGTATAGGGTTGTATTTTTGTATGGTTCTATGAAGAAATGAGTCCTTATCTAGAATGTAAAGGTTCTTGATGTTTCTACCAACTGCCAGGATCTCCTCAGTCAGACGGTCCTGCAACAAGCAATGATTATCAAGAAAGGTGAATTTAAGGTTTGAGGTTTTGGCTAATTTGCTCACAGATAGCAAGTTAAATTTGAATGTGGGTATATGCAAAGCTTCTGTGAGGGTAAGATCTTTGCTGAGAATTACATTACCAGAGTGTTCAACATGATTAATAGTACCATCAGGTAGATACACAGGTATAGTGGTAGTGATGACTTTTGGTTTATTCATGAGTTTCAGGTCATTACACATATGATTAGATGCTCCTGTGTCAACTATCCAAGAGCCTATTCCTATGAAGTCACAAGTATGTAAAGCATGAATATTATCAGATGTAAGAACAGAACCTGCGAAATCCTCCAAATGTGCAAAGTTCACCCTGTTGTTGCCTTTCCCTTGAAGATTTTGACTAGTTCCTGTTGAATTACTTCACCTAGATTCATCCCCTGTATCTCCTGTTGTATCACCTCATTCAGATTCATTCCCTGTAACTCTCCCTTCAATCTGTCTCCTGTTTCTTCACCCATCAGATCTAAAGGAGTCTCAGCTAAATTAGCCATATGTCTTCCTTTCTTCCTTTCTCTAAGGTCCTTATACTAGTCAGGATAACCAATAATCTTGAAGCATGATTCCTTATTATGTCCATTAATTTTTCAATTTGTGCAATACTGCAGCTCCTTGTCCTTTTTGTTCTCATATTTTCTCCCTTGTCCCTTTGCTCCATTGTCCCTTCTGTATGACTGTGATTTAGCATACATAGCATTGATCTCAGCTCCTTCACCATACATAACCTGTACCTCCCTTTGCTTCTCTATTCTCTGAACCATTGAGTAGGTTTTGTTCACCACAGGTAATGGTTCTGTGACTAAGATCTGACTTCTCACATGCTCATACTCCTCGTTCAATCCCATTAAGAACTGCATCAACCTGTTAAATGAAGTCATTTCTGTGGATGCCTTTGCTGATCCACAAGTGCATTGCGGCAATGGCATGAGGTAAGTCAGTTCATCCTAAAGCCGTTTAAGTTTTGTGTAATACTGTGTTACACTCAAACTCCCTTGTGTCATAGTAGAAATTTCCCTCTGGATCTGGTACAATTGAGGTCCGTTACATCCTCCGAACCTCTCTTCAATTTCAATCCACAGTTCTCTTGCAGTGGTGGTGTATAAAAAAGCATCTACAATCTCCTTCGAGATTGAGTTCAGAATCCATGAGGTAACCATGTAATTAACACGATTCCACCTCTCGTAATCAGTTGAATCCTTGCTTGGCTCTTCAACTGAACCATCAATTATCCCCAATTTCATTTTTACCCCTAGGGCTATGCTAACAGATCTATTCCATGCTAGATAATTCCTTCCTGTCAGTGGTGATGTGACCAAAGCCATTCCCGGATGGTCTGAATTGTGCAGCGTGAATGGATCATCCCTATCACTTTCTGCCATTTCAATTTTATTCCAATTTCAACTCCTTCGTAGGTCGAGGAAGACGATCACCAAGCCCTGGGTCGTCACCGCTCTGATACCATGAGAAATCTTAGAAAGGGAAAATATCCAATCAATTTATTCAATTATCAGACGAAAATGAAGTACAATATTAATAGGGAAAGTGACGAGTGCTAATAACGGAAATTAACAAACATAATAGACTAATTAAACTAATTAGCCAAGTAACTAATTATCAGCTAAAAGCAGTAAAACAAGTGACGTGGATAATGTGATGTGGATATTCTCCACAACTTTCAGAAATAGTGAAGCATTATCCTTAAGGGATTTGTCCAGGTCAGCCCGTAACACTCATACTTGATGAGCCAGTGCATTCTCTATTGTATATCTATATAGAAAGATGGTTTATGCGCTAAAAAGAATGAAAAACTTTGACTCTTTACAAAACCACAAAATACCTGCTTTTTTCTGCTCAGATATGATAAAGTCCCGTTCCTTGAGGGAATACTTGCATTGTCTCAATTCATTCTCCGTATTTGCCAACAATTCACTGGTTTGTTTCAAGTCTTTCTGCATACAACTCCAAATAAAAATCAAAAAATGAATTCAAGACATAGCAAGGCATGGCACGACACTATGACAATAACTTACTTCGGTAGCATCAAATCTGTTGCTCAAATCAGAGCACTGTTGAACCTGACCCTCATATTTAGCTTGCAATTCCTCCAGTTGCTTTAGCCATTCAATCAAAACAATTTAGCGATAATCATACATAAAAAATGTGTTTGCTAGTTGTTTTAGACACAATCTTTTAGGTACATTTTAGATTCGAATGTTCTTGAATTTTTTCCATGTTGTTTTAGACTGCATTGGAGTTCATAACCAAAAATGAGCATATGGCTCCTTGTGCCCTAGCAAAGTATCACATGTTAGGCAAATTGTTGTCAAACGACCTCCACGAACGATGATGTAAGTATTGTTTATTTCAGTCGGTATCGACCAAATGACTGAATGAACATCGACACCACAATTTGGCAAACCAACCACATAATCACTTGGGCCTGAAGCAGCCTAATTAAATTAGTGCTACTCATGGCCCAACCCAAGACATGGATGACTCTTTCGATTTGATAGCCTACTAACTTATTCCCTATTGGGCCCCAATCTTTGTGACCTAGCCCATACCTAATTCTACACTATATTTCCCATGTCCATTACTGTGCATTATTTGAGAATTGATTTAGCCAGCCTTGTGTGAGGAAATCTCGTGGTGGTCCCTTGACTCTTTGCTTTGTTCTAGCCCATACCTAATTCTACCCTATATCTACTGTGCCCATTACTGTGCTTTGGTGAGAATTATAATTTAGCCTTTATTTGAGAAGAAAATAGCGGCGGTCTTTGGCTCTTGCTTCGTGCTTTCACTGTGCTATTGCTTCTAACTTTCCTATAGCTTTAGTGGCTATTTTAGGTGGCTATTATAACCTCCATTCTCAGTTTTTGTTTGTGGGCAGAAACTGAGAGCAACGGGTCGAGGGGCCTTGGATTGATTTGGGTTTAGGTTTTCATATTGTGGTGTCGATTGAGCATATTGAGCCCGGTATTCCTTGCTGTAGTAAGCGGTTTTGCTTTACATATGGTATGAGAGCCTGGTTTGGTGTAAATCCAGGCACCGTGTCTGCAATTGAGTTCGGACGGCCGTACCCCCTTGCTGAGTGCTGGATCTGCTATTGGGTCCACATGTTTGTTCATAGGCATTGACTTGACATTGATGCAGAGTGTTGGTAGAATTAATGTCTATGACTAATGACCTTGTACGAAAGTTAAGCAGGGGTTTGCACCATTTTAGTAAGAATGTTAGACAAGAGTAGTTGAAATCTTTAGAATTTCTTGTTAATTTCAAGTGATTTCTCTTACTTTCTTTGTAGGTTGTTCAAACAAATTAGTAAGTATAGTAAAACTTAGGATACTATTTTTCCTATTGTACTTGGGGGGTTTTGACAAGTGAAATTGAAACAATTTTTAATATTTTGGAAGCTTTGACATTCTGTAAATTTCTCTTCATCTTTTTATATTTTTCTGTCTCATTATTTTTCTTTGAACAAGGATCATGTGGACAAAATGGAGGGAATGGGGGCTAATTTACTTGCAAATGAAATCTTCCGACGAGATTTAGTCTAACTATAGTGCAAAGGATGCATGGGAAATTTTAGAGGACAGCGACAACTTTGAGGTTGAATCTCGTCTTACCAATTTATGAAAATTCTACGGGTTAAACTATTGCTAGAAAGTGATTTTAGCCTGTAAGCGAGAGATTATAAAGACGTAGAGCTTAGAGTTAAACCCTGAAATCTCTAGTTGCTGGGATCTTAAATGTCATAGAGATTGAATTTCACTTAAACATTGAAATGTGTTCGATTCCTTAATTCATTTAGTCTTAGCTAGGTGAAACCTTATTGGGTACTTGACGTGCCTTGTTCATTGTTATCAAGTTCATTAAATAAAAGTGTAAACGTCGCGAGCCAGACCACACATCCCAATCAATTTGTTGGGAATTAATAGCAATGCAGACACAGAGTTCACCAACATTCAGTAGCTCAAAAACAACTAAACAAGGTTCTAAGCTCATACAACCAATGATAGAGTTCTAACAGCTCCAGAAATCTAGCTCAATATGGTCACCAACATATACCATAGCATTAAACAGAATATGCACAGAGTATAAACAACTTGATCTCTTATGAACTGAAATCAAAGCATATAAACATAAACAGGAGACAAAAACCAAAAGCTAAAAAACCAGAACATATACTGGACATGAAATGGATAAAACATAAGCATAAAATGGACTGAAGCTTCACTTCCCTTTTACCGTCCAAAGCAGCTGCCCTTTTCTTCACTTCCCGCAGGTTGTTCTCCTCTTCAGTTCGGCCGAAAGATTAGGCTCAGGAACAGTTTCCATGTTAAAGCATAGGCCCAACAATGGTGTTAAAGAGAACCACCAAAATATGCCCAATAAGCCCACACAATTAAAAATAAGCTAGAAGCCCTACTAGATGGAATAATGTTATTTAGAATCCGTGAGTGTCATTGGGTGACGCTGGTTTTCATTAAAAATAAACTAGTTTAGGTGGCATTGAGCATCATTAAGTGGTAGGATTAATTAAATGAGTCAATAATTGAGCATATCAGTTAATAACACATATATACGATGGTATATAACAACATTGATGTTAGATAATATTATTCTATTCGATGAGCTCCCACGATCAACAATTCTAGTGATTCTTTGAAAAAAGATCCATGTACTCCTTATTTCTCTCTCTTAAACAGGCTTTTTTAGATTTGAACGACTTCACCTACCTTAGCCCCTGTTTCAGCCACGTTCCTTGAGATGATCACTGGGAGATATGCCTTGGGGGCAGCATATCAGTTAATAACACATATATACGATGGTATATAGCAACATTGATGTAAGATAATATTATTCTATTAGATGAGCTCCCACGATCAACAATTCTAGTGATTCTTTGAAAAAAGATCCATGTACTCCTTCCTATTTCTCTCTCTCAAACAGGCTTTTTAAGATTTGAACGACTTCACCTACCTTAGTCCCCGTTTCAGCCACGTTCCTTGAGATGAAATATGTTTTGGAATAATTATTTTTTAATAATGTATAATTAAAAAATAAGAAAAAATTCGATTTACATATAAATTTATTTTATGATAGAATGTATAGTTAAAAATAAATTTTCAAATAAATGAGGTTTTAAAAAAATGGGGGTCAAACGTAGGCAGTACTCTTTGCCTTAAAACTAGGATATCCCGTTAGTAACGTGTTCTTTAATTAAAACCTTGTTTGACAAATTTTTTTGAAATTATAAGTTGATGGGTTCCACAATATGTGTGGTTAAAAAGTGAATAAAGTTGTGGATCCAACTAAGTGCATATTTGACACTCATTAATTTATTTTATAGTTTGCTATTGGATTATTTTCAACTAAACATTCACATAATAAGTTTTTTTATATGTATACTAGAAAATTTTCTCTACTTTTTAACTACATATTCTCGTAAAAATATTATTCAAAACTCATTTTTTTCCAATTAATGAGAATCACATATGCTCAAAATGTTTAATTAATAATGAAGTTTTGACTAGCCCCTGTTTGAACCCCACTTTTTCAAGAATTCATTCTTTTAAAATTTATTTTCAATCACACGTTCTCTCATAAAATAATTATACACGTATTTAAAAAAAAAAATTCTATTTTTCAACTACACATTTTTTAAAAAATCACTATTCTACAATACATTTTACCCAGAAATAAGAATCAAACGAAGTCCTAACTTAAAATTTGAAAAAGCTTTACCAAAAAAGAGCAGTCGGTTGATTTATCTTAACCACGTGGCACGGTGGCAGTCACTATAGAGTAGGGGTCACCCGACGTTGGGTAGGGTGGAGTATGAAAGAATATCGATACTGTGTAATGGTACAATCTTGATTATTTTTCACGTGAAAGAAAAACAACCTCAACTGAACAATTAGAAACCCCATTAATGTTTGCAAAAATCTGTTAAAGGGCCCCTTAAAAATCTCCTGGCAGTACCATTCACATTTAAGAGACATTAAGTGAGCGAGCTGAAACAATCAAGGAATTTAATATAGCACTAAGGGTTAATTTCACAAATGGTCACTGAAATTATCTGAAAATTTCAAAACGGTCACTGAAATTTCAAAATTTCAGAAACGGTCACTGAAGTTTTAAATTTCTTTCAAAACGGTCACTGAATTTTCAGATGTTTTGACCAAGTTTGAGACAATTTTTCGGCAACTTCCGACCACTAAAACCGCCGATTTCGGATACCGTTGGAAATCCCACGATGTCCTCTTCAATTACCACCAAAAATCTCCCCAAAACTCCAAGTAATTCGGCCGGAATAAAGCCACGAAGTCGGCAACCGAAAAAGTCCGAAAATCTGCCCAGTTTGGGTAGTTGACTTCGTGGGTTTATTCCAAAAAAGGGAGAAATCGCCAACATTAGGTTACCAATGGTGCCATCGCAGCGCAGGCACCATGTGCTTGGCGCCCAAGCGCCAATCCCTGCCTCCGTTTTCTTCTTGCTTCAATTCCTTGCGCCTAGGTAGCGTCTTTGGGTTAACATTTCAAAACATGCTTTTTGATATCTAAGAGTCTTTTTTAAAGTCAAATTCCTAATTATTATTAAAATTTGATCTCCACAACTTAGAACTTTACAAACCCGAGTATCTTAAACTTCCTCCAATCAACAAAAACTCAAATCACGTGAAATCTAATCAACAAAATACCAAATCACATGGAATTTGGATCGCACCACAACAAATTTCCACCTTCAGCCAAATTCTATCACAAAACATTAAAAAACATCTTCAAGTAAAACAATTTCTCCTCTTCCAAATAAGCCCCATAGTTAACGCTAGAGTTAAGTCTCCTACATAAGAGATAGGCTTTGACTAATTAGAGTTTGAAAAAAAAAATGCTACGTACAGGGTTTCTTTCACATATTCTTTACAAATACATAGTTATTATTTTTTTCATTGACAGTTAGCTTAAAAAAAAAAAAACCCTGCCCATCAGTTGCATAGCACCTATAAAGATTCTGTGAAGAAAAAGCATGTACACGTGGCTTTTATAAAAAATATATATTCAAGATGAACATGAGTGCAAACAAGTTGGACTTCAACTTTTATGTAGTAGCTTAAAAAAAGAGAAATGATATTTATCTCCACTGAGAATGCATCTTCAATCTATGCAATATTTATGTGGCATTAAATGATAGGTGAAATTAAATAAGACATTTAATTTTATCTATCATTTAACCAATTATTTACATCCACATAGATTTAAGATACATCCTCACTAGGGATGAATAGCANCACTAGGGATGAATAACATTTTTCTTAAAAAAACCATAATCACGCACTCCAACTTACTTGAACCACCATCCACCCGATCGGACTTTCATTGGTTTCATGAGTTTCATTGATTTACTCTTTATGTTTCATCGTAATTCCCATCTTTGGATGGAATTATTATGTCATTAATTATAGCTTTAATATATCTATTCAAACTACTATTGTATATCGACTTAAATTGCTATAAAAATTAAGAAAGAATACAATAAAATAACCTCAACTTAGCGGTGGCAAAAAGGCTCGGACGGCTCGGGCTCGTCTCGGAAAAAGCCCGAGCCTGGCCCGGCCCGGCCCGTGTCACAGGCCGAAATGGCCCGCGTCCAGATTAATAATAATAAAAAAATTTTAATTTTGTGCAGGCAGCTAATGTAGCTGCGCAGCTACAAGTTAACTGCGTGCATGCTACCAGGAAAATTGATTCG